AGGTTGACGGAAACTCGGGGACTGTGCCCACCTGATGAGCCCCAAGAAGGGCGAAACTGATCGTGGGCTGTCAAAGAGTTTTCGGCAACCTTGTGAATAGTTTCCTTTAAGAAAATATACCGCGATATCTCGAATATCGTGCCACCTGAATCATGAGGCAGCCTGTGTGCAGCACATTCAGTTGTAGAATATCATAAACGAGAGCTTCAATTGAGTCTTCTGTGAAAACTAAATTGATTTGCAAATGAGTGTATTTCTCGAAGTGACTGACCCCTTCAAATCATCTTTCCCGTGAGTTGAACGATTGGTGTTTGGTCAAGTAAACTGTTTGGTCGTCCACGTCGGCTTCTAATCGAGACTGCGAGAACTGAAGTTCCAAAGATCGAGGCAGTCCAAAACCAAAGATACCAAAACGTTTTTGTAAACAGTGTTTATGCACAAAGCAAGTGCCACAGCGTGACTATTTGCTCTGAGTGAAATTTTTTTGCTTGCTTTTTTTTTACTGAATTATTTGGATGATAGGATATCCTTCATTGTTCTGCAGAAGGTCTGATATGTACAAATAGCCCATTAGCGAAACATAAATCGATCTGAAGTTTAGAAAGTATGTTTGATATGTTTAGTAGGCATTTTGACGTGATAAACTAGGAATTTGAACACCAAAATGTAGTACAAAGCAAACCTGATGAGAGAGTTTTGTTTCTTGGAATCGTTCTTGGAATATGCTGGCAAAGCCCCGCAGGTCCCCATTCGATTTAATCGCTCTTCGTCTGGCTCTGGCGTGCTGGCAGTGGGTGCAGACGGTTCGTTTACATTCAAAGATGAATTGGCGTCTGGTTTTGACTGGATCGGCTCGTTATAAATCGGTGCAGTATGCACGAGTCCGTCATACATTACAGAGTTGGTTGGAGCAGGCAACAAAACGTGTTTGACGGCGCCATTCTCGGTGCTTGAACTGCTTAACTTAGACTGACCGGAAGCTTTTCCATTCAGTGAGTCTGAGGGTGCTGATATTCGCACTTCGCTGGCAGACCGAGCGTTTCCGGACTTCCGCGTGATGCCTCCACGTGATTTGCCGCCTTTATGTCTGGTAAGGGGTGTTGTCTCCTTGCCACCACTTGGAAGACCCAACAAGATCCGTCGTTGTTCTTCCAGTTGATTAATCTGTAACGGAATAATAAAAATAATTTTTCGGTTGACGGAGCATGAGGCAAGCTTAATGAAATGATACTGATTTGCTCACTATGAATATAAATCAAAGTGGTCAAATTCAGACCAAATCAATTTCACCTGGTATTTATCTACTGTTCTAGAACATCTGTGGGTCGTCCTTACGGTAAAACACTGCAGAAGCCGGTGTTTTGCTGAAGGCAGTCAACAGTAACATATCGGTTAGATGTATCACTGCCTAGATGGTTGTAAATGACTAACCCTCTGCTATAGGCGATCAAAAAGGCCTTTCATCTATTTAGGCATACAATCGAATTCCTACGACACCAAACACCGGTATTATCACTAGTAACTTACTGCCTGCTCGTTTTGTCTGGCTGCAAGTCGATATGCCTTCCTGGATGCTTCTTTTCGCTTTGAGTCAGCTGCCAGGCGAAGATTCACCTCCATGATGTTACGCAGGGCCTCTAATTCAACATTTATCCATGTCAACTCTGACTCCCGACCTTCTCCATTCTCCGCTTCTCCCTTGCCTGCCACTGCTTCTTGAAGAGAGGATTCTCTATCGGTCGAGCTCACCGCATCACGCTCCATGGTGACAACTGAGTTCGAACTTTCTTCTAGTTCGCTCGCATCCATCCATGATTCCCGCACTCCGGAATAGATGTCACTCATACTGGTGGACTTTATATGAGACCCTCTACCAACCGGCGCCTTCCTGCTCATGCCATTCTGTTCACTACATTTTGAATCTCGCAGGTCTCGGCTATCTAGCATCCCACCTTGTTTATAAAAACTTTGTGAGCGTTCCGCATTAAAGGCCTGAAAACAGACAGAGTGAGAAAACGGTTGAAACGTTCAGTTTCGATTAAAAATCAATCATCCACTTCTGTGAAGCAAACTTTATCTCCATTAGAGTTTGAGGATGTACGATATCAAGAATGACTTAGTGCAAAAAAGACAAGTTCTGGACACCAACACTAAGGAAATGGATATGTTTATTCACAAGACAAGTTTTACCATACACTTAGAACTGCAGCAAAAGAGAGCGTTTGTCTGCTACTTTGATCTCTTTCATACGCACACACTCACTATCAGCTCTTGATCGTACACTACATCAAACCCGTCTAGTACTTATCTCGTGCTTGACTGGTATTGGAACTTTCGCAGTCCAAGGTCGGTGAACAGACCACCGACCAAGTAACCTTATCTTTTGCGTATCTTTTACGAAGTTACAGGAGAGAAGGTGAGAATTCTATGAAAATCTGGCTTTAAAAAGTTCGACAGACTGTCACATTTGTACACTAAAGTAAGCAGTCAAGCAAGCAAGGCAGTCACTTCTGTGCTTGGGTTGTATTGGCGACACTGCTGTTTCACCCTCTAGATAAGTCTGCGATATTTTTACAGTTTTGTACACTTAGTCTCAGCATTTCAGTATGTTCTTTAGTAATGAGTGAACTCAACATTAGTTTGAAGATCCCAAGCTGAAAGTGGAAGGTCACAGGTGAAAGTACTGGATGGTACAAAAGCGCTACGCATTCACTATCATGATCACGTGCACTGATTGCCATTAATCAGTTTTCGTCGGCTGATTGTCCATGAATGGCCATGCGCAAGTGCATACACGAACCCAGTTTGCTGTGATTCAAAAGACAGTCTACTGGAAGTGTGTCAAGCCAGAATGAAATGGAAAATGTGCCGATTCGTAGCCTTTGCGATGAATGCCAGAAAAACAAAGAACTCGAAAACTTGTCACCGGCCGGAACTTTTCGTTGGATTCCCGGCATTCCGTGCTGGCATTTTTATCGTTTAACACTAAGCGACCGTGATAACGGTCATCCGAGGTTATTTTATAACCAGAAGAAGGTGGGCATATAGCGGTCCCCAACACAACGCATCGGTCAGGAGAATGCGGGGGTAAAGCTAGCAACGTACGCGAAATGTGCCTTAAGGTACTAGCATCTCCCATATATTTTGCAACAGAACGATTAGTAGAAGTCAACAATTAGCAATTTAGGCTCACTTTGCTATTCATTACCAAATATTACAGCATAAGATCTGCCTTGTATTCAGTGAGAAGTAAGGCTTTGTCTAACCATATTTGCAGTGTTCAGAAGAAGAGGTAACCATTGGTCGGCTAGGAGGGCTTGATATGAACGGCATGAAAATTGGTCACGACCAGCTATGCAACTCTCAGCTATCGCCTTTTCCTTCAATCTAGGTTTAACTGATAAAATGGACGCGGGTTTCTGAATGCACACTGGGACGAACAGTCATGTTGGTGAACCAGTTGGTACAGAATCACATTTAGTTGAAGCGAAATCTATACAATTCGTAGGACCTGCTGGTGTGAGCTCATCTACTGAAACTGGTGAATTCAAGCATGGCAAACTGGAAGAGCCCGCGGGACCTCTTGACGAATTACTCCCAAGCCCCAAGCCAACCATTCCTTTCGCTGATGAGATGTTTTGGCCAATACTAGAGAAGGAAATCAGTGGAGAAGAAACAGACACGGTTACTCCTTTGTCTGCCCGAGGCGGAATAAACTCATGCAACCAGTGGTTTTATTTGGGGGAAAACTTGCGCACCCTCATTAGCAAACTGCAGACCACCTTTTGTCTAGAACAGTTTTCAGTGTGGACACCACACGCAGCTCGATCGCTTATCACCTTTGAGAATAATGCTAAATTGGGTTATACCACAAAACCACGTACTTTCATGTCTGACACGCCAGAAACAACACTTGAACCTAATGTCTCTTTGGGTACACTAAAGCCACCCCAGTTCCGCGTGATAGAGATGTTATCGGATCCTGTGGACAGACAGGTCCCTACCACGTTCTTGACACGATCGCCGAAATTGTGAGCATCAGCGTTGAAACTAAGCAGAACACCAACCAACCGCACTCGTTTAGCTCCGGCAACCGAAACAACCTATCTGGCAACCGACTCGCGACCAAGATCAACGTAGTCTAACTTAAGCTCGCCGTCTTGCAAAAGAAGTAGCACATTCATGCGAGCCGACGAAAATCACGAGCGCATGCTCGAGATTCGTATCCTCGGTCCATCAGATACTTCGTACGAAGAAAGCTGTTTTGTATTCGATATTCGGATTCCTGCTCAATATCCTTTTTGTTAACTTAGTTTTGATATACGGCTGTGACAGCAAGGCTCCTAGTTGGTGAGCAAAACCAAAGCCTCCGAAAAGGAGGCTCGTTGATCCATTCTGAGGATGTGAGCCGACACGGTCTCCAAAACGCAGTGATAAGAGTAGATGTCGTGTAATCAGAACGTACTTTCCTTTCTTCATGATCTGGTTGGCGTTGCTGACAAAGTGGATGGGTGAAACCTGATCTAGTACAGTGAAAGCTGATTTCATCTCGTCCTGAGTGAGTATCGACTCCTGTCCACATGGCTAGGCAGACAGTAATGATAAAATTATCTACGTAACGCATCATAAACTGTTTTTCAAACTAAACCCTGTAGGGGCCGGTCCACTATTGACAACGCAGATTTACAACGCAGATCATCACTGTCCAATGACAGCTGATGAATTGAAACATTAACATCGATATGGCTGACCAAACGGTAGATTCCTTCTCCCAGTAGGACAAAACAAACAAGAATCACTTCTAGGCTTTCACTTCCCTCTCAAAGTTTCTGTTTTAGTCTTTTTCGATTTCAGTGACATAACCCTCAAGGCAGTTTACAAAAAACGGATAAGAAGCTAAGGGAGAACGTACCGGTGTATTAGACCATATGATGAAATAAGCGCTTGGAACGAATGTCCATTTTCTTGAAAATGGTGGCTGATGGAATGACAACTAAAAAACGCAGCACTATACTTCATACGTGACATATTCATGGCGAGGGTTCTTTCCGTTAGTTCGTATTTACGAAATGGCTGGATGGTGTGTAAAACTTTGGAAGGCTTCGGCTATTCAGTAAAGAGTTGACAGGTAAGTATAAGGTCGATTCAGGGTCACCGACACTTATTCCCTCTGGACTCCTAACGTCCACGAGTTAGGGCAAATATTGCTTCATAGCCTTCCGGTAAGAGTTCCATCATTAGTGTCTTTTATCTCTTTCGCAGCTGAAAGCACAACCAGAGAGGTGGATTAGGTAGCTCTTTTAAATGGCATCATTAGGGCTGGGTGGTGAGTCTACTTATAGTGTTCCTATCAATACGGGCAATTGGGGCGCTGCAGTCGAAACTGTGGAACCGGATGTATCTCGATGCCATCCAGTTAGCTTGTGTGAAATATTCATTGGAAGGGTCTGAACAGGGTTAGTCCTTCTGGTGGCAAGAAATTCTAGTCGGACATTAAAGGATCTCAGCTGGCGTCTATGAAACCAGATGAAGTTCAGTACATTTTTTTCCATGGATGTATGCAGAAACTTGATGAGGAGTCATCGGGCTTCGTTATCCGCTGTGGAGTTTGCATACTTCTGACTCTACCAAACGAAGTAGCGTGCCGTCAAAGCAACGCGCAGTCTGGGTTCCCTCTACCATGTTCTCCAACCCACAAGATGTGATTTTAGAATGTAATTCCCCAGAGGATAAAATGGGCCTTGGCTTGAAAGCAATCTAGTTGAGTGGCTAGTACTCATCTTTGATAAAAGCTTAAGTGTGGTAAAAGAGACCCCGAGCTTATTGGCAGTGAAGTTGGACATCTAAACTGCTATCACTGGTCTATGCAATTGATTATTTAGTACATCATAGAGTCGGTCGACAAAATTAAGAACAAAAATAGTCAACAGGCATACCCTTGACTCACCAGAGTATCTCAGCATGGCGCATGACCGACCCGCATAATCTTTATTCACACCTGAATATTTCCGAAGTGCACACTAAGTTGCACTCAGTAATTAGTTAATTTTACGCAATTACTGTTCATTTTTGGCCGGTACATAGCCAAATCGCTCGAAAGTCACACGATTCTTCTTTTCTCTGTCAGAGAAAAGACAACCCGGAATACTGACTTTTGGGCTCCCTAGCTCGAGATTATCGATTTACTGAGTCCACAGCTGACTGCCGTGTGACCAGACCTCATTTGTGTTTTGAAATTTAGCGTACAAAGGAAATCTGCTGCACATTTAGCCCAATAAGCCTAGATAATACGGAAGCATCCCTACAGTGAAGGGAGAAAGAGTTGAAGGAAATTCGAGGACAACTTATGCTGGAATCACTCAGAACCAGTCGAGTTAAAAAAAATTAATTAACTTGTATCAACAAACGTCTCTTGTCTTACCGTTGCAACAGGGGGCAACACTCCCTCGCTCCTTCGCTTTTCTTGATCGGACAATGAAAGCAGACTTGACTGTCTCAAACTATGAGACGAAGGTGATACGTGCACACCAAATTTGCGAACGTTCATCGGAGAAATTGGAAACCCAGTTTTTTGCAACCGCTGTCCCAACAGACCAGTACGAAGTCTCTCTAGTCCAGGATCTTCTCGTTGGGAAAGAAATGAAAACAAAAGACGCTGTTTTAACGGGAAACCAAGATTTCCATTATCTTGCATTCTAAAAATGTCACGTGTTACAATGCTGTTTGCTAGCAGTACTACCGCACAAACAAAAAATGCTGACGCTACTGTGGTGTTCCTGCTGCTAGATGCATCCTACTACGTAAAATATTCTTTAGACGAACGTTCCGACAGGTCTGAACACTCGTAATCCCCCACAGAAAATATTCGAACGTCTTCTCTAAGTAGCTGCCTCGGCCAATAACTTAGTGTAGGTCAGACAGTGGCAGGATAAGCAAACCAATGTCGGATGGATGATACTGGCTCCGAAAATAGGTGAACGCCACGTTCTCCTCCCGTTTGCAACAGAAGATTCCTCCCATCCACAGGAATATATACATTGACCTAGAAAGATGAATTCTCTTTCGGATAGAACAAGCATGAGATATCGGTTCCAAAGTGCTCGCTTTAAAGTTCGAAGGTTCCCAGTGCAGACCAAAACATGTAAAATTCTAGAACCTACTGGTCTTTCCCTCCGAAAATACTACCACCCGGAAGATATCGCTTGAAGTCCGTCCCATAAAGCGCTTTTCCACGCAAGCCACTCCCGGAAGAGACCTTTTTTGCGTTTATTTAGAATCCCCTGTTACCTCTCAACTGTAGCACCTCTTGGGTGCTTAGCTGCCATGTCATCCGAGGGAACCACGAGGGCTGAGGTTCCTCAAACCCAAACAGATACAGTCGAGATGCAAAGCTTGAATTCGAACCACGGGACCACTGACCCATAAGTTTGCGCCTTAACCACTGAGCTATCTCGAGGTGTCCTCTGCATTTCTAAGGGATCAGATTCAGAATGATAGACATATTCATAGTACTTTATTTCTGTAAGCAAACAAGAGGGAAGGCTCCTAATCCCCAAACTTTCAAAGGAGGTCAATGGGGACTAATCTGTCAAACCAAGGACGAATTTGCCGAGGGAAAAAGGAATATAGTGGATTTGCTTGCCTTAAGGTAGAAACTTGCCATAGACTGGTTCGTATTCCCGAAGGTAAGTGCACACACATGAATTCAACTGGAATACCTGCGGTAGTTAAACACTGTCATAGTTTCCGGCGGCAGAAAGAGCTAAGGGCACAATTCAGATAAAGGTATATGATGATCGGAAAGAATGACATTGTTCAGTCGTCTGCCACAAGGCGGAGGATAAACGGGTACTTTCCCAGGGTAGATGGAACCTAGCTCAATTTCAACGATTCCGATTCTCGAGATGATTAAACTTCTACAGGATAAAATATCTTAGGAGGTATGGCTAGGAGCCTATTGCCACAGTAGTTTTTTAGAGATGCATCCACACACTAAACACGTGGTACTTATGAATTTTTTAGGGTTACCGATTTATTTGCACATAGCACTGCATTCTCGTGTACATTTTTCGGTGGACCGTAATCATACCTAAGGTATGAACTAGGCCCATTCTCTTTGTAAAGATACTCTGCGTTTCGGAGGTAACAGGCAGGCATATCAGTTGATCATCACCAAAATTTTAAAGTAAACTTCAAAAAGTTTCCTGTTATTTGCAGAGCTCTTTAAGAAATAGTTTTTAGCCGATTGTTTTCTCTCACATAAGTTTGTAGTGAATGAGGCTCAAAACAGAACAGTAGCTTCCTTTGGCTGCTTTGCCCATCCGTTGCGCAGGAAACTGTAGGTGATCGTTCAGCTGTAACACCCTTCCGTTGTCTAGTTGCCATATCACCCGAAGGAAGCATGAGGGATAGGATACTGCCAGGTTGCCCAAGCCTAAACAGGGGAAGTCGAGAGGCAGAGACCGGGTTCGAACCACGGATGAGGTTTGTAGTGACCCGTCACCAACAGAGCGCGAAGTTACTCATATTAGACTAGCTCAAGAAATCAGTGAGCATCCTCCCGTTTTCACATTCCATAATCTACAAACTACAAATTGAGGTGTAGCAGCCTGCCCCTATAAACATGGCAAGGATTCCATACCGGCGACGCGCATCCCAACTTATCTGTCATGTGTCGTCCGGCTGCGATATTCGTACAACATACCAGCTGGTAAACACCTACAGAGACAGTGAGCTAACGCAAAAGACCCAACCGAACCATAGGGCATATCCTATTGTGTTCACAAGGCGATGGGACAGTTCCTGATCAAAACTACGTCTGAGGGCTTGGATAGTCAAACATAAGAATCACTTTTGTGCTGCGTCGAGAAGCTTCATTGAGCTAAACCAAATGGAACATAACCCACCATTCGCACTCCACGCACCAACCGAATTCCATCGGATCCATCTTTCTTGATTGCAAACCTTACCACAAATCCTGATGTGCATGTATGGTAATGTTGTGTCGGAGCCATAAGCATCCTTATAACTTCCTCGTGTGTCAGTATGTCCGATTGTCTCGAGTCATTGTCCATTTCGTGAGACTTGCCTCGGCACAGAAAGCCGGGTCAGGTTGGCGATCGGGCAATCCTACATCAAGATCTGGAGGCATTACTCGACAGTCACTGAAAACACGCACACTATATGCATACGCAACTCATCCACACAATCTGACTGGTGTCAATCAAAAATTAAGTGGCATCACATTAGCTTGTGTTTTCTCGCTCCGGTGACTGTTTAAGTCCCACCCGGCTGGTCCTTGAAAAAAGGCCACCTTCGGCAGTCGAAACATTTCAGACAAGAAACTCGTGGTGTACCTCCGAGCAGTTCTGCTTTGCAGAGAAAGCGAAGCCAGATGAAAACAAAATACACATGTGTGGACAACTCTATGGACCAGATTGTACACACAACAAAGCTTCTTGGATAACGTTTGGTGTTGTTCGGACAAGAAGAAAGTCTTTAAGGTGCCAAAATGATGAAACAGCTAGAAGCCTTCGGAAAAAGATTGTTGCTCTATTTCACTCCTTCAGCTGTCGCTATCACATATATGATAGAGATGTACGCTGAAAAAAGGGTGAATGGATGGTGATACCATCAGTCGCAGATTGATTTCTGCAACTAGTCGCAACTGAATGGCAGCGATAGAGCTGGAGGGTATTTAAGAACAGCGATCCCTATAACCGCGGATGTTGAAGACTTACTCTCCTGTCCTACTATCCCAGTTCGTCTGCACGACGACGCTTATGACCGTTTGGATGGACGTGCCAACTCCCTTGCAAAATATAAAACTGGCGTATAGTTCAATTGTAAAATGTTTGGGACCGATTGGGATGTCATCGTTTTAGAGGGGTTTGGTAAACAATCGGTGGATTTATTGCTGGACAACGTTTCGCTTTTGACACAAAAGCTTCGTCAGGCCAAGTGAGTAAGTAAGTAGGTTGATTGGGTTTTAAGGCAGTCAAGGAACCAAACCCCTCTGAAACGATGGCGTATAGTTCAGTTTTAAGGCGTCAAGGAACCAAACCCCTCTGAAACGATGGCGTATAGTTCATCCATTCAACAAAGGTGATGCTCCGAGGATCTAAGTGGTTTTTGTTGAGCTTTTGCCCTGAAGTCACACAAATGACCTTTTACTTCAATGGAAATATGTATGAAACCCCATGGATGTTAGGCAATGGATACCGAAATTTGTGAGTCACACTGACCAACCTGCTTGAGAGATAACGTCTGAGGATCTGCTGCCATCCTCTTCTATCTTTGTTGGTTCTGGAGCGCGCAACCGCTTTGCGGCAGCCTGAGCATCATGGCACTCGTGCATGTATTGATTGTAGTTCTCCGGTGGTTGTCCTGTCAGCTCCTGAATAGGAAATTGGAAGTAAAAGTAACCGTGGGATAGGGGAGACACACTTCATTGTTAAAAGAAGGTAAACAAATGGTAGGTATCCGTAAACAAGACGAGTACAGTGATCATATTAGTTCGAACACGGGAACACAAACGGCAATGTGTCAAACGGCTAATCCGTTGGTTATGTTGGTCACATGGTATCGTACCATTCAAATAAGGTCAGCAGGCCTGAAGGTAGTGGAATCATCATTCAGGCGCGAATGGGCTCAAGGATCGCATGTCCGGTCGCATTATGTATTCTGTGAATGTGAGACATGGGGATGTATTATGTAGTTCTGAGTGAAAACAGACGGTAAATTCCTCTTTTGTCGCTTGAGTTTGCGGTGCAACGGCCGTTCTCTCGATGGAAGGTTAGCCGTGTTTCTAATGCAAAATAGCACGTATGTTGCCCTACCATTTATGTTCAATCGCGCCGTAATATTCACAGGCATCCAATGATAACAACGTAATCACACAGATCAAAAGGAACTCTGATTGATTCTCCACTCTCTTCATGATGTTTATCGCTTACATGGAGTATGGAATAACATTCAGGGTTATGCATAAATGCAGCTGAGACAACAGCTAACTTATTTCTCGATCGGATTCAGGCAAAAACTTTTTACCGATTCACAAACTTCCGGTTTCGTTGTTCCTCGTTTTTGATTGGTGTCACTGCCTTGAAATTTCGGTTCTGACTGTTTATTTTCACGTTTACATTGGTCGTTTAGGTGGAAAACACGCGCAAACGTGCATTTCCAAGATGATATGAACGAATGCAGTAGTCCTTTTTGAACGAGACTGGACTGTCCGACTGGCCGTAGCAGTATATAATCTAGTAAGTGGGTACTCCCGGCACCAATAAGTTGAGTTTTCCTGTAACCTACTATGAATCGACTTCATACTTGTATGCATTCGGTAACAATCCCCCAAGTTCAATGAACCAACCGGAGCCTTGCCTTCTTCAACTGAACACCTTTGGTGGTGGTATCTTCGCAATAGGTCGGACAAAATTTGAAAGAAAAACGGAGGATAATAAGAAATGCAGTGCAGAGCTTCAGTCTTACCAGCTCTTCATCCAGCAGTCGAATAAGTTCCTCATAACGTTCGGCCAGGCAAATGAGTAAAAATGATCGACGTTTCACAAGGTAATCCACAGCATCCATGGGGATATGACCGAAGGTAACGGAACTTGAGGCGGACTCACTACCATTGCCACCGGGGTTAAGTAACGAATCGGAAATATCGTCCAACGAGGTGCTGTGTGACATCTCGAGTGCCTTCTCAACCGGGGTTTGTAGCCCCGTCATTTTCGGTGCTGGCACGACCAATCGAGGTAGCAGGGGTTTTGGGGTGGTGGGTGTATTGTTTAGACTGTCAAAGTAGTCAGCTAACGTGAAACGCACCGGTGGCTCTGTGGACACTAACATGAACAAAGAGGAGACCAGAAGTGCATCACAATGGCTAGTTGGCGAAAACAAGAACAAGTTTATCTGTGTATGCATCGTAACGGATATTTGTGTGCGCTTGTGCTTCGGAAAAAAATACGCCTCTCGAGCGGAACGCAGTCTCACGGTGGCCCCGAGCACGTCGATCGATTGTCCTTTTATCCAAATGACTCACTCTGACAGACCAATTGTGTGAGGCGCAAGCTAGGTGAGCACTCAACCGAATCTAATTAACTAGTTTGGTAAAATCAAAATGGGGAAGAACTGAGTTTAGGCGGATTGACTTTACAGCCTTCTTTCTCATGTGCTATCAACAGACGATGGTGATCGATAGGCCAATTCCAACATATCGAAAACGAACAACTGAATAAAAATCAGAGAACTTCGGTTGAGTCGGACACATTTGAAAAGTAGATTACTACGCAGCTCAAGATATTTGAGTGTCTTGGATCAGACCAAACACGGCTCGCTGGTAAAAATTAATGAATCGGTATTGTGGATGCTGACCGTGAACTGTGTGAATGGCACATGCGATCCATGCTCCTGGTTTTAAGGTTTCTGTGACACATTAGCAATCGTGTTTGTATGAGTCAAACCATATATTACACTTTCCAGATATATGGTTGTCTCATGGCAGCTACCTAGAGCACAGGAGCTTTTAGGAACAAAACAATGCATTGTTGGAATTCCATCATCAGGCCTTATTTGGCGCAAAACAAAAGTCACGAGAAGATTTCTTAGTCTAGTTAGATTAAGAAATACAGCAGTTGCCGCGAGCAAACCTCATTTCCGGTTGCAAGGTCCAAATGGTTTCGCTTGGTGAGGATTTGTGTCTCTGGGAGTGGGGGAGCCACATCTTATGGCTATACAGGCGAATTAAGTTTCGTATAATTATTTTCAAACTATAATGAAGCACTGAAGGTTGCGAGAAAAATTTTCGCCTCTCCGGTTTGATGCCAAAAAAAGAACTACAGTCTAGTAGTGTGCACAGCAATCATTGTCACACCGAAACATGGGACGATTGCATTTGGGAGGTCACCGATGAGCGGATAATAACGCCAACAGCGCCAGAAACTTGCTTTTGAGTTCAATGTTCCATCGATCCGGATCTAAATTCCTTTCTTTTCAAATTAATCTTCATTATTGAACTCGATGAAATTTGCGTGTATACATCCACCTTAAGGTTGACATTATAATGACAACATTTCCCTAGAACAGCTAATAGCAAACCACACACGCTTCAAGTGCATGATCGCCAACAACAATATACATGCGTCAGTAACTTTCCGGGAACCATCACGACCTGTCTACATGCCAAACAGCGAAGGACGTATGGCCAACACATACGGTTAGCATCATCATAGGACCAAAGAGTACGAGGCTTCTGGGTATGGAAGTGAATTGACAACTGTTGTTTTCAGGTTATACCTAATGATAGCACCTCGAAATAAGGGTAACTGACTGAAAATTCAGCCTTCTCGCAAAGTTCCAGACAGCTTCTCAAGTACACTAAGGCCTTAGTAGCCAGCTTACAGACAATCGGGCGCATAGTTTAGTTTCGGGAAATTATATCTCGGAGACAAATTTCATCACCCTGGGGTAATCCTTTCCAGATGCCGGCCAAAAGTTATATTTCCGGAGATGTGATCTCTTCTGGGAAAGAGGGGGAAAAGTTGAAAAACATCCTAGAAGCTGGTCAAAGGTTAACGCTTACGAATGCTACTACGCCGGAGAGTGTTCTCACTGGAAGAGGATGTATAATGCTTGCAGATTTTTTTTAAAAGCCCGGAGTAATTACTGCGCATCCGCATGTTCACAACCGGTGTCAGATTGTAAACGACGGTATGGATTATTTTGCAGCCTAAGGGTGTCAGGTCCGGTGATACCGCCTTTCAGGATACAGTAAACTTCTTCCGGGAACGGCTTCACAAAGGAGATGAATTTTTAATTAGTCTGTATTAGCGCGTAAGATCCGTTCAGTGGTATTCCCGGGAGAGAACTGCAGAAGCGTCATGTAGGTTAAATCTTGGTTTGAAGGCCCCAACTATTTTGCAACCATAACTGAGGCAAAAGAACGGACGAAATTTGCATTGTTGTCCTTGTTTGTGAAAAATTTACGCCTGGCAGATAAACAGTTTTATGGGTTGAAAGATGTGCTCGAAAATGTTTCAACCCCTTAATTGCCTCTCACGAGGCCGTACCGTGTAAGCCTAGATCGGGGATCTTTCATTGGAATGGAGCTAACTTGAGAGGCCCACCGCAGCTTACTAGTGGTCCCTATTTGAATGTGGAGAACGGTTCCATACTCGTCCAGACCTACTTTTGGAGTGACTTTCTTACGGATATCGACATGCCTCATCAACAAGTACCCGTGTTTTACGTACCCAGCCACTATTTTTTCTCGAATTCACCTCTTAACCTCTTCATTTGAAACGTGCACCCTTGTGACTTTACGTGTGGAATTCCCTAGATTCTAAAAAATCTTGCTCATTCTGAAGACAAGTTTTGTGTGCCCCCTGTACAAACCAGATCCGCTGGGAGCTCAAAGCTTTATCCGTTTAGAGAGGTGGTCGTATTCCACAGGTATGAAAAATAGATGCCTCGAATCATTGTTATCTGTACGGCCACAGAAGAAAATGGGCTGGGGTATGGAGATTCATTTAATAGGGGAACACCCCGTTGACATGCTCGAGGAATGAATATCGAATCAAAAAACCGACTGGTCAACACCCCTCAAAACCGTTTGGCGATAATTTCAGCAAACCATGTGTTGAAACCCTGTTGTCCGACGATTTAGATTCGCATCAATCAGTCTGCCGAGATTTGTACTATTGTACATCACAATATTTGCAGAATGAAACACTGGGCATGATTTGTGGCAGTAATATTCCATTTATTCCATTTATGTCCCTCCCATGTAGTAAAAAACTGCCACCGTTGCACTGTCGGTGAGATAGCAGCATCGCCGCGTATTGTACACTGATGGAGTATATTAGTCCTCATCTCCTACAAGCGAGGATAACCGAGGAAAGGTCTTGCTAATGAGAATCGGGTTTACAGTCAACTTGGAGGTGGGTGAAAGAGGATCCAAGAAGCTCGTGGTGGACAATAATCAGGGTTTGGTGCGTTTGGCTTTGACTAATTCGAGTTAATTAAACTCGGGATCTCTTTGCTTCATTTGATCAAAAAAGTATCGATGGCTCAAAATCTATGCAGAAAACACATACGGATGTTGATTTTCTCAGATTTCGTCCTTCAATTCCGCCTTTTCCGAGCTGCACTCAGCATGATACTTGTTTGTTTTTACCTGAGTGGTTTCAGCGGAAGGTCTTTCAGAGAAGTTCAGAAGCAGATGTGCAGCTCGGTGTCAAAGCGTACAGTCACCAAGTTTGAAACTTATTAGAAAATGCTAACTGACCAGTTAGACTACTGAACCGGGAAGCAAAACTCTCATTTGCATCTTATTTACAAAAACTGAACATCCATCTTCTCCCGAACGCGTCTTCTTGAACTTTACTGAATATCATTGACTCCACTGATTCGTTGCTCAAATCCAAGCAAATGCGACTGCACAACTTCCGCAACAGATCTCCCTTTTTCAGGGGACGCGAAACGAATTTACAAGGCTAAAGCATACTACTCGCATGCCTCCCCATCAGTAGTATCACCGTTACACTTGTGGTAAAAAACCAGGTTGCAGTCTGCTCCCAAATCTTCATTTCTACAGTGAGTTTTGCCAAAGTTATTAATCTAGAGTACCTTTTTTATAAATACTGACTTCAAATCCCTGAATTAAATAAGGATGGGATAGAGAAGTGTGTTGGTAGTGTGAGGACACTTCGGAATTTTAATAGATATTTCGTCTATGTTGTACTGCGTAGACTGCCTTGACTTGCAGGAAGAAATCTTCATTAAAACTATCAAAGTTTGCCCGTTGTGTATGATTACGTCAGGTGAATAGCTGGAGGGCAAATACAACATTTAGAACATAATTTTTGCTACCCAATGTTTCAAACATCACGGGTGGCCGACCACCCGTAAACCACGGATACTAAACAGAACATAGGACATAGGGCGATAGCCTTATTTTGGGATAGGTTGAACCGACCTGTTGTATGATAGGCCTGCTTTTACAATCAGTTCGATGCACTTAAATGCAAATTTCTCGAATAAGGAAGGAAGTTTTTGGCAACGTAAACGTGATACGGGCAACGCAGTAGCCCAACTGACTGGATGTGCCACTAGTCACTGATTGGCTAGGTCTCGCTTCAAAGCGCTTACCAATGCCTGTCACGTGCATTGTTGGAAAACGTCTGTTCTGGCCAACCGGATATATTTAGTAACCTCTGGCGACTAGTGCAAATATGCGTTCTGGCTGTGTCCAAAATCTCTCAAAGTACTCGCTGACTGCACAGATAAGTCAGCGTCATCTCAGAACCGATGAATAGAGGCTGATGTATGCCCAATTTTAAAGCTGTTTTCGTAAAAATCGATCAAAGGTCTATTAGGAACAACCCATAAAAGACTTGTTGTGAGGCTGGAAACCTCACAAACAAGAGGCTTAGCTGCATTCCAGATGAGTCTCTCTAAAAACCAAATCGGTTTGCAAATGAGTGTATTTCGGTAATTTCGTGCAGTTTGGTTTCAAGTAGAACATAAGGTTGACGGAAACCCGGGGACTGCGCCTACCTGATGGGCCCCAAGAAGGGCGAAACCGGTCATGGGCTGTCGAAGAGTTTTCAGCAACCTTATGAGTAGTGCATTACAAATATACATACATCGCGATATCTCGAATATCGTAGCGACTGAAACATGAGGCGGCCAGGTGCTGCACATTCAGTTGCCTGAAAACATCACAAACGAGAGATTCAGCTGGTTTCCAGATGATTCCCTCGAAAAACCAAATTAGTTTGCAAATGAGTGTATTTCGCTAATTGTTGCAAGGCTGTCCAAAACTTGCCTGACACAGTTCCTAGAAAAGTCGTCAACCATTTCTCTGTCCAAAATTTGAAGAAATACAAAACAGGTTCAAACTTTGTTTGTCCGTTGACCATTCTACTAAAATATCTGACAACTTTGGTAGTTTAACTGTGGATGTCCTTCAAGCTATTCAGCTAAGCTGATGAGACTAGGACGGTAAATGATCTGCGCAAACAGTGAACGGCATTCATACTGGAACGATGGTCAGCATGTCTTACCACGCTCTGCATCTGACATCAGGTCTGTCGCGAAGCATAAACAAAGTTGCGAGACTGTCCGACCATGCTACGGTTACTCAGCCCCACCTCACCGCACACTATCGGAAGTTGGTGAAAACTAAAAAGCTCAAACATTGTAGTATGTTCGGCACGAGAACTCTGCTCGCTAAACCACACAGAGAGTAGTATCCGATTACCTCGGTGATAGAGGTAGGGGTGGACGTCAGGCAGTGCAGTCGGGTTGAAATAACACTGGTTCTGTCCAGGACGTGGCAGAAAATGAAAAATACGGTAGTACTATAAGTTCTATGGAGCCGCTGTAAAATAAGAGTATCACGATGTGTACGATGTAACTGGCATCACCAAGCTTGTTTTCAAAGCTTCACTCCTGATTGACTGCTAGGTAGCACGGAACTTACAGACAACTGTTGAACGGCATCGCCGTAATGGCCATGGGATTCCTGGGATAACCTCATCCGCCCAGTCCACTGAGGCTGATTCAGAGTTCTGCTAGCTCATCTTGGAGGACAGTCAGAGGACCGCCTAATACTTACTTTTGTTCATTCACATCTCCGCCACAATAAGACAGAGAACAAGACCTCCTTGGTAGCAAGTCTTCCCAGACTATTCCGCTTTCAGAGGATACTATGAACGACTTCATTCACCTTCCAGTAAGTCCTTCCCACAGATATGCTGGGACATATGTGGAACTGGTTAAACCCACATTCCAAACCACTAACAAGAGGACGTATTGCACAATCCACTCCCGTTGTGGTTCGTGCCACTATGGTGAGCTGTCCAGTTCTCATCAGGGGAAAAGAGTAGAAAAGCGCAATGGGTTATTCTGAAGCAATGGTCTTCAATCGAAGTGGATGTCTACCGGATAGAAACCACTATCCAAAAGAGTTATACGTCTTCTCTACTGATCTGAAAGATGGAATTCTTCATCAGCCTCAGTCACCCCAAACAGTTGCTTGGTACTGTAACAAAATTCTAGGATGTCGCTCCCGAAAAATATCCCCATAGACACCATTTGGAAAGCCCGTTTATCTTTTGAAAGATGGGATTCCCTGATTGATGGAGTGCTGCCTGAAGTAATTTTCTTCCATTTGCATCTTCCGATACTAATAACAAAGCTGTTGCCCGTATATCACAATGTTCCGCTGGAAAGACTGACTGAAAGACCCAGGTTCCATTGACTCTAAGTGACTAAGTTGCCTGCTGACCTTATAGTTGAAAGTTCGTAGACAGCTCCTTTACAAATAAAAGACCCAATGTTGTCCTGTACAGAAGGCATTGTGTTTCACCTCAAAGGGAAAGGAGATATGCAGTTTGTTCAGTCACTATATAGGTTCAACCCGGTCAACGCGCAAAGATCTGCCCATCAACGGACCTAGGTGATTTTTCAATGATCAATTCAAAAGGCGGCATTTAGATAAGACCTGATTTTGTGAGAGGAGTGCCGCCTCGCTAAGGCGGCATCATGAAACAAAGCAAAACAATAGATGTTAAAATACGAATTAACAAACTGGCTGCAGGCACAGATAGGGGACATAACGGAGGTGAGTAACACCTTGATCCTAGGACAGTTCCAACAATTCGTACAGTTCAAAGCAGATAAATGTTGCCTGACAGACATAAGAGAAGCTGTTCATGCGGTTTGTGATATCTTGTTTACCAAACTAGGACAATTGCTTGACCAATGACTCACCCGCACTGGCGTCCCGTTCACTGATGTAAGGGTTTTTGTTTGTCGATATATCCGACAGATGGTTTGTTGGAGGCTGTTCCGCGTTGGGGGATGAAAGTACAGCCGACTCTGTACTGGGTACTGCGTATGTATCTAGGTCACCACCCCGTTTGGTATCCGACGGGCTAGGGGACCCCAGTGAAGTCGAGCAACCTGGCGGCTTGCTGCCTACCTGACTGAAGCGAACCTTCGTTAGTATAAAGTCCTCTGATTGACGAACTTCCGGATCCCTTTCTGTATAGGCTAACTGTCCGTTCACGCCAATATCAGCTGCATTGCCAGCAAGCTTGTCAATGCATACATTATCGTAATGCTGATCAGAATGGTCAGACATTGGCAGCTGAGCTGGTGTTGATTGGCTGATTGCTGCAGCCAGGTTATCGATCGAAAGACGGTTGCGTAGATCAGCGCTCACCTAGTGAAACAATAGACCAATAAAAACAACATGAAAGCCAAGTGCGGTATGTGTGCATGGTTGCGGCGTTTGCAGTAGGAATGAGTAAGTGTATGGTCACTCCTAACTATTCATGCATACGGGTCAACACAAAAGACCAACTCGGATGCTCTTCTGCTTCAGCGAGAGAAGCCACCGTCCACATATTCCCTTAGGACCCTCTATCTTGCCACAAACTAAGTACGATGGTTTTTTTTGGAGACGCATAAATCCTTACATAAACAGGCGCCTTCTTATGTCCTGGTATTCCTTCCACGTAAGAATCGAAAACAACATCATTATCCCTTGGTCAACTCGTTACGACGGGGACTTCCGACATCAGCAAACGATTTGAGTCGGTCCTGTGGGTGCCACCTCCCAGTGAGAACCACTTGCTTTGGTCGATCTTGCGTGAACCAGCAAAGTTTATGTAAATCACGCACGATTTATTAGTCCCCGTCTAACGGACAGCTCTTTAAGCCGGATATAGAAGTTTTCTGCGTTCCCTGTAGGTTTGGAAAGGGGCTGTAATTTTGCACATAAAAATGACGCATTCCCTATTATGGCCTAGAAGAGAAATACTAAGATCAGTTTTGTGCACCATCGGTGTGGGACAAAATTATGGATAGATGCACTGTCCGTTCGGCCCAGATAAATCACCGCTCACTCAAATCAGATCCTTTCACGAATCAATAGTTCGCAAACATGATGTGACATTCACAGCGTACTGATGCCAAAGAGTAAAGCCTCAACAAAGGCCTATCTCACCGGAAAACTGTCGTAATGAGTAGGTTTCACTCCACTTCATCCTACACACTGGCCGCCTGCTGTGGCGTATGGGGCCCGGTACTGCTGAGCTAAGTGAGCCGTGCTTTTTCAAAACGCCATCTGATTACCTTTCTCGTTGTGTCAAAGTTGAGCTATTGTGGTCAGCGGTTTAATACCACAGGACTTCACAAGTCATCTTCTCTACATTGAGGTAATGGAGCAGCGAATGAAAATGGTCAAAATTTACTCTTGCTCCTGTTGCCTAACTTCTATCAGCTACCTGGTTTTATTACACTACACATAGTTGGATCGTGGTCATGGGAACCAAGAGGAAAACATGTTGATAACGTTTCACGGACTCCTGAACGTATACAACGAAAGGTTAAATAAATCACTTAGGCAGCCCATGACCGGTTTCTTTCTTATTCAGGGTCATCAGGTAGGCACAGTCCCCGAGGATCCGCCAAACTTGTGTTCTACGTGAACCTAAATTGCACAAAATTAGTGAAATACAATGGCAAATTCAGTTACTTAAAACACCATACACCAGAGGTCCAGCTGGGTTCCAGGTGAGTCTCCCGTCAAAATCAAATTGGTATTTCGGTAAAGATGAATCAATTCACGTTTACTATTCGAGGTAACCTAAGCTGGATGAGAACTCTATTCAAGGAGCTCAAGGCTACCCCCAAAAAATACGTCTTCTTCACAATATAATATCAAACGAGTTTCTGATGAATTTTTTGGTGTCCAAGGTTCATCGATCTCTTGCTCTCAATAGAAGATTTGCTGGTAGTCCGCTCCTTACAAACAGAATATACTGAGATGTTTCGGTAGTAAAACTGATATTACATTGGTGGTCGGCTCACTGCAAGCTAATGAAATGTACCTCCAATGACCGGCTCAAACCTGAGTAACGGCTAATATGAGAAGATCATATTAACGAGTTCAGCTTTTGCTTAGTAAGTACACCGCACCGTCCAACTGTTACCATGAATCTATTCGCCTTTTTCTAGTATTAAGTGCAAGGCTGAATAACTTGCTACTGTTTGCACACCGCCTAACGAAAGCCACCAGGATAGCAGACGGATCCATACGTTAAAAGTACAGTTACGCAGCCTTGATAGCATGCGACTGAACCACTGCTTTTTAACATTTTACTTCACAGAACATTGCGTGTTTCCACACCCTATGTGGTTGGACATAAAATCGATCAATTCACGTGCATACTACTGAAACTATCTGTATCCACAATGCTTAGTTACAACAAAGTACACAAAAGGGGCCATACGTTGTATTAATAAAATCCATCACCTACGCCTCTCATACAAAATCAAGAATGTGGCTATTCTAGTCAGGTGTAAGATACTTCTTTGTGTTACATACATAGCTGGCTCCAAGGTCACCACCAATGCTCATATATACAGCGGTACACTCGTAAAAGCAGTCAAACCTTCTTTGATAAAACGGAATTCGAAGGTCCAGTTGAATTCCGAAAACACTGATGCGGGCTCCTTAGTTCTTAACTCTTGACCCAACCAGAAGTTTCATCACCTGAGCAAGAGTGGTCAATAATCCTCTCTTCTTGGCACGCGGCTGCATAGTAGTTTCAGGATATGATCTCTCTAAAGATTCCGGTTGATCAAACTTACCGCACAGTCAATAGTAGTGGTTAACTTCACCGTCATTAGGAAAAGTTCCGCCTCACGTTGTCAACGATCACGCTTTCGCTCAAATGTGCTAAAAAATGACCTGAGCTCACCTAGTTAACGGATACGAACTCCAAAAACTGCTCGCTCGTGAACAGTCCGTTTGAACAACTACCTGATCACCACCGGCACCAATCGAAATATGGGTAGCTTCTTAACGTGATAGTAAAGCAGTAGACCTAAACGGATGCACGGTTTGTTGCACAGTTGGCTATCTGCTCCCACATGCACACACTATAGACTCATCTCATTTGCCAGAACATTTTTCAGTAACTCGCTGTTCTTGATTCTCACTCTCTAGGCAAATATCCCTTTGGACAGACTACCATTCCTTTTATTGGGTTATGTCTATGGGCTCTCATTGAATAGTGTGGCATGTTCGGGTAAAGAAATGCATGCAGAGAAAGTTAGGAACCAAGATACTGTGGGCAAGGTTGGAGTCATCAAGTAAAACGTCTGTAGGAAGTTTGTTCATTTGACCCGATTGCACCCATCAGTTTACCGCAACTTACTTATTACCACTCTCAACCGCCATCCTTCCTACCTGGATGCTTCTCTTAACCTGTTTTAGACTATATATGTATTCCTTTTTGGTATATGTTGTTTAGCAAAACAACTAAACGCAGTAGGCTTCATTTGATTTCTCACAGTACAAGACAGATGAAGTTTTCTAAACTTTCCACTTTTTTCCAGTCCTTCTCCGTCGACTGTCTGTTACATTCTTTAAATGAGTGAGCGAGGTTCCCAGCCACTCTGTAGTATGACCATTTTAGCCTAGCAGCAGTTCTTTTGACTTTCTCACGTGAATGTTTTCTGCCTGTGACGTGCACATGCTCACACATGTTAGCTATGCATGGCTGATCTGTATTGATTCCATCGATTTGTTCTTTACGCCTCGATGCTGGGTTGTTCTTGTGGTGGTCGTTACTGTATATTCCACGTTTTGCGCTGTTCATACTTTAGAATGGGATAAACCATCTTATAAGTTCGCCTCACTTGTCAACCGCATGTATTCGGGCCTGGATTACAATCATGATCAGAAGTAGTCAGTGTAGTTGATCGACTCATTTGCGAAGTAGTGTTTTTTGCGTGTTTTTTCTCTCTCTCTCGATTAAACCAGTCAGATCACCGAAAATGCCGGTATGTTCACCCGTATATGCTTAATGATTCTGGTGCGCTAATGGAGCAGTGGTAGTACGCTTTCCTTGTATGCAGGATGTCTGGAATGGTATTATGGACACAGACAAGAGTACAACCTGCTGATAAGCTCTAATAATGCCAAAACTGTAGTCCAGTGCTTCCGAAGTTTGGGAATAAACAAACTAGAGCAGGCAGGGGGTGAGGTGGGAGTAGATACGAATATGTCCCATACTCACTATTTGCATCAGGTTCAGGTACGTGAATTGAGTTCATTTCTTACGGATGTATTTAGACACGTTCCCACTCACAATACACGTCAAAATATGAATTAAAGCTGATGAAGTTAAAGCCCCAATCGTACCGGACAGTGGAGCTGCAGTGGGTCAAGCTACGTCTTTTACCATAGGAAGCTTTCAGTGAACAGCAGAGACTGGTTAAAACTTGGAGTGATGACAGAGATGTAGGTCGTTATTAACCGTTCCTCGAGAACCGTCTGTTGTGTGGTTGTTTATGTTGCAAAGAGGGACTACGATGCATTAAAACTTTCAAACAGAACTTACATAATGTTTTGAAACAGCAGCTGTTGTGGTGAAATGGAGACCCACAGGTGAATCGGTATGAACAGCATCGTGACTGGAAATGTCTGATGCTTTTATAAACAATATCAATCAATATCCTCAAAATCTGTGCCAAACGTTCAGTCGCATGGCAACCGCCAAACTTATGGTGATCTATTCTGAGTGCCTGTCTAAAGTGCCCCCAACGAAAAACAAGACTTCGGTTTTATTGGAAAACACGTGAGTCAGGTGTACAAACCACATGAACTGTGTCATGCGACAGAAGAATAGAAAGGAAAAAAGCAACGCATTAAACCGAACCTGTTGTTTTAAGCATGTTGACGGACTTAGCTGAATGCTAAATTTGAAGTTCCATGTCTCTTGACCAGCGATATACATTTTAGCAGCAGGGAATTATTACACCGCTCTTTCCCTCACACGTATGCTCCAATGACTTCACCCCACGTGACCAGCTGGCAGGCACCGGTGTACATATTAAGCCAATCTACTNCCCCACGTGACAGCTGGCAGGCACCGGTGTACATATTAAGCCAATCTACTTGAACCATGAAGATTAAAAATAAAAGTAAACCGAACACACTGTCAGTGACAAATTTATTTTGATTGGAACGTCGGTTCTTTTGCACCATTTGGCACTGAATGTTTCCGTACACCGCCCAAACTCAGTAAGAGACAGGAATGAACTTGCTGTGAGGGATACGAAATCGCTCTCTTGGAACTCTCACGGAATATTGTGTGGAGGCACGCTCGTAGATGAAATGTTCTTGTCAGTTCGTCATAATGTTGCACT